CTGTATATGACAAAATCTGCATCCTGATATATGCCTCATAATATAGTGCTTTGTGGGTCTTATTACAGTGGATTTTATTTAGTCAATAACCCTGTACAGCACTTTGTGATAATAAATAACTGCAATTTGCATGATATTTGGGGCCATTCGATTTTTTCTTGTTCTACAAGCAAATTGCATTTATCTTTCAGTTTTCTTTTCTTTTCTTTTTTTTTTTTGGTCCAAATATCCTACAACTGCTTAAATAAAGACCACTTCAACTTTCAATTTAATACTAACCCTAACTATCACAGCAAGCGGTGTAAGGGCTAAGAAACACGAGCCTCTCCTAAGGGGCTAATGTCTACATTAGATACCATTGTGTGCGGGTAGTGGCTGTGTCTGAAGCATTCCTTTCCCTCAGGAATTGTCTCTGTGCCCAGAGAACTTGCACCAAGAGGCGAACCTGCAGTGGTGTGGACAGAAAGGGCAGTGGGTGGGTGTCCACCCAACTATGTTGCATTGTTTTAATGAGTTTGCATCTGTGTGTTAGACTCTGAGCATCACAAATGCAGGGACTATATGTGATTATCTTCATAACCCTTACATTGAGCATCCTGCAGTGCATAGTAAGTGCTCATTGAATTTTGTATAATAAATCAGTGCACAAATAAATGAATGAGAAAATCATTTTGGATTCAATGCTGCCTATCTTGGGCGCCTGTAGTCCCAGCTACTCCGGAGGCTAAGGCTGGAGAATGGCGGGAACCCGGGAGGCGGAGCTTGCAGTGAGTCAAGATTGCGCCACTGCACTCCAGCCTGGGCGACAGAGTGAGACGCCATCTCAAAAATAAAATAAAATAAAACAATGCTGCCTATTTATGCAACTTAATACTGGCATACTTCTGGTGGCGATTTTATATTTATAGCAGTTTTTGAAGCATTGCCATAGACTGGTAATATTACATAGGGGTAAGAATATTGGTTCTACCAATCAGTTTCTGAGCTTTCCTTCCTCAGCAAAATGGGAGTAACAACTCTAGCTATTTCTTAGTGTTGTATATGTTCAGTGAAACAATGCATGTATTTATTATAGCGCCACACACGCAGTAAGTGCTTGTTAAATGGAAGCTAATTGGTATCATTATTATTGATGGCTATGATGATATCCTCTCTTCCTATCATTTAATTCTACTCAAATTGTTGATCCTTAATGTGTTTAAGGCCCATCTACCTTCATGTTTTCAGTTTAGATTCAGGCAACATCTATCAAAGTCAGGCAAAGATCCAGATGGTGAGAACGGAAGAAGAGTGCTTTGTGTGTGTGCTTTATCCCTTAACACTTTGAAAATGGCAAGAGAGGATGATTATTTAGAGCATGTTTACTCTGGGCCAGGCTCTGGGATACTGAGACACTTTATGTATGTCACCCTCTTTAATCTTTATAAAAATGTATTGAGGTAGGCATTAGCATCCTCTTATTTTATAGATTAGGGAATTTAGACACAGAAAAGGTATACAACTCATTAGAAGTCACACATCAAGTAAATGATGAATCCAGGCATTCCTGGCCACAAAGTCTGATCTCTTACTGTGTTAGATTAGTGTACCCTTCCTCATCAGCCTCAGCATAAATGTCAAATTGATACATTCACTTCAAGGAGCAATTCAGAATCCTATACACAGACCTCAACGAGGACACAGTAGCCTTGATTTTAGTCAACCACTTCCTCAGGCTGACGTTTCTGTGAATCTCTCTGGGCCTTGTATACTTCTTCTGTAAACTTGGTAGCACAGCAGAGACCGTATCAGGTGAAAGCAGAATCACCTTTTCACTGTCTCATACCTATGATTCTGGACTTGGAACGGGTCACACCTGTGACAAGCATATTAGGATTTATAGTTACCATTTAATTGAAGGGAAATATTTTCTCCCATTCCTGGCTGTCTGAGGCTCTTTGAGTCCCTTCAGTGTTAAAATATAAACCACTAAAACCACCTGTTTACAGTGTTTCCCATCTGTCAGCCAGTGTAACTCCATGTTGAATTGAACAAGAAATTGCTATGGGAATGCACACATCTGAAAGCATAAACAGGTATTTGATATCAATTTTAAGTGGAAGCCAAAAAATGTCATTGGTACTTAGTATTTCTTTCCTAAAACAATCCCTTATATGTCTCTAAGCCTCAGAGAAATAGAGAATTTAAGACCTGGTGGAGACCAGAGGGATCATTTGTCTATAGCCTTCTCATTTTCCAGATGAACAAAGAGATGGTTTTGTTTTTTTCTCTTTTTCCCAACTGTGTGATATTTTAAAGCTCCCTAGCGGAATAATTTCCTGTCTAGCTAAAGCTTATAGAGTGAGGCCACATGGAGAAAACGCTGGGAATTTTGCAGTGTATCAAGAACCCCACAGTGTGCTGAATAGGGCCCAGAGAATAGGCTTACTCTCTGTTTTCTATTAATCAATCAATCAATCAGTCCAACCCAAACACAAAACAAAACTTGAAATTAAACATAAAAATTAACAGAGTAGGCCGGGCGCGGTGGCTCACACCTGTAATCCCAGCACTTTGGGAGGCGGGTGGATCATGAGGTCAGGAGATCGAAACCATCCTGGCTAACATGGTAAAACCCCGTCTCTAAAAGTACAAAAAATTAGCCATGGGTGGTGGCTCGTGCCTGTAGTCCCAGCTACTCGGGAGGCTGAGGCAGGAGAATGGGGTGAACCCAGGGGGCGGAGCTTGTAGTGAGCCAAGATCGTGCCACTGCACTCCAGCCTGGGCAACAGAACCAGACTGAGTCTCAAAAAAAAAAAATTAACAGAGTAGCGAGTAATCAGTTCTTGGTGTCTTTGCTGTCATTCTTAGCACCTCTACATGAATAGGACAGCAGACTAAAATGTGAGAATTAGATTCCAATATCAGCATGCAGGAGCTCCCAAGTATCATCTTTTATTTAAGCCTTCTTATATTTTGAAGTTATACCTCGTAGTTATCTAGCTACGAGAATAAAATGTATAAAATCACACCTCTTGGAGGTATTTTCTTTTTATTCACTTCTTTCATTATCAGAAAGATCTTTGCTACAGGGGTGCTGAGGTTAGCCCAAACCTTTGCACAGTGCTCTCTTCTTCAGTAAATGATGGGATATTCTTCTTGCGCTTACAGAAAGGTAATCTTATCAACAATGCTTCCCTAGTTAGAGAGACGGATTGCTGCTCTTAGTGCATATTAACAATATTGTCCATTTCTGGCATGAAATTCAACTCCCATGGCTACTTTGTCTAGCCTGTTAATGTTAGTTTTTGCCTTTGCCTGAAATGGGTAGCAGGTGGCTTTAAGTGAAATTCACAGTGTTCATCATTTTTTTAACCAGAAAAAGAAAAAGAGTAATAAAGTTCAGTCTATATCAATGTGAAAATCTGGGCTGCCTATTGGGGGACAGAATGTGACTAGATCCGTGAGTGGGAAGGTGTCCATGAAATCCCCAGGGTAGCTGTTCTATATTCTTCTGAAAAGAAGCACCTTGTGGCTCTGAGGTTCTTTGAGGAGAGTCCTTTCTCCCTGTTGCGTCATATACACCTGCTTTCTGCAGAATGTCAGAACCCAGGTTTCTTTGTTTTTTGTCTGTTTGTTTGTTTCACTCTCAGGGAATTTCCAGTTTGCGATTTGATCCGTTCAGTGGCTCCCATATTTGGTGGTATGATTAAAAATGCCAGATACATGGAGCATTTAGAGCTCAGAGATACCCTTCTTCCCAGAGAAGTGTAGCACCACTCTTAGACATAAAGAGGCTTTCCTAATTGAAGACCTTGAAGGGTCTTTGTTGCATCTCAGACTCCCCACCTGAACCTGTAGATCTTACTGTCTCTATGAAGAGGTGGAATATTGTTATATCCAGGTGTCTTGGGGCACACATCCAAGAGGTACCCCTAGAATTGTGCATAAACATGATAGAGTTGGTTCTGCATTTTACAATGGAGGTAAGTCCTTGGGAGCAATGTTTTCTACTATAAGTCAAAACAGTATGATGCGCAAAACCTGCCTTCAGAGAAATGTGTGCATTACTTAGCAGTTTCACTTCATTCTGTGTTACAGGAAAAATTATCTACTCGTATCGTACTCAAAGGTCTTCTATCTCTATTCATGCTAAGCTATTATATATGAAATCTATAAATTCTCCTTTATAAGATGATGAATTTAACTTGCTCAATGCTAATCATAGTTTTGGAAACAGTTTCTAGTGTATGCATTACCTAAAATTGTTAATCTACGGCTTTGCACTTTTTCCTGTCAATCTATAATTAAATCATATGAAAACACACTGATTTTACATCATTATAATAAAGGTGTATTCTGATATCTCTGATGACTATGGCTTCCTAGCATTCATTATTTAATTGCTAGACATTTTATTATCAGCTCATATGGTGTTATCTAAATTAATTGTGAACTTTAATATATTTGTATCTAAAAAGAAAATCAGTTTTCTCCTCGTAAAGTAGACTCAGAAAGCTGAATAGGCGAATTTTATGCTAACAACCTAATATCCTCTTGCAGTTAAGAACAGAATCAGAATGTTTACGGAAACATCCCTTTCGGTTATTTATCAGAGCTCTTGAATTGTGATGCTGTTCCATCAGTTGCAGGAGGTGACGCATGTTTTATTCAACTGTGTGGTGACTGGATTTCTAAATTAATGTCAAGACAGAAAAGTCAGTGGGATGGAAGAAGTTTTCCTGAAATGTGGTCTGAATATCCAGGGCTGTTCACTCTGGCCATGAAGGATTGCTGGAAATCCTTGGCTGGGACTAGGAAAGACAGAAAGGGAAAAACATAGTCAAGGGAGGAGTCAGGGCCATTATTATATCAATGGATGCGGAGGCTGGGATCACACAGAAGGAACTGTACCTATTGGATGAACTAGAGAAGGAGTGTATTAGTCTGTTCTCATGTTGCTAATAAAGACATACACAAGACTGGATAATTTATAAAGAAAAGAAGTTTAATTGACTCACAATTCCGCATGGCTGGGGAGGCCTCCCAACCATGTAGAAGGTAAGGAGGAGCAAAGTCACATCTTACATGGCAGCAAGCAAGAGAGCGTGTGCAGGAGAACTGCCCTGTATAACATCATCAGATCTCATAAGACTTATTCCCTGTCTCGAGAACAGCACGAGAAAGACCCATCCACATGATTTAATTACCTCCCACCGGGTTCCTCCCACGACACATGGGAATTATGAGAGCTACAACTCAAGATGAGATTTGGGCAGGGACACACCCAAACCATATCAGGGAGTTACAATTTAAAAGGCAGAAGGCAGTCATATTCTACCATAGCTCACAGAAAAACAATTACTTCATAAAATTCCATTATATTTAATACCAAAAAAGAAAATATATTCAGTGAGTGCCTGTTATGATGCAAATACCAAATTAAGAACTTTATATACTTACCTCACTTAATCTTCACAGTAGATATGCGGGGAGGATTTGATTGTCTCCATCTTATAGGTGAGAAAACTGAGGCTCGGAGTGATCAGAAAACTTACCCAGGAGCACATGGCTAGAATGTGGCAGAGGTGGGAAATTGAATCGTTTCCATTTTATACCGTCGATAAAAATTACTGAGGCTCAAGTCTGTAATATAATGTTAATCTGTACAACTCTGTAGCAATACTAAGCGTAAGGCTCAGGGAGACTGTAACTTGGTCCAAATCAAACTGCGAGTAAATTGCAGAGCTGGGATTGGAGCCAAGGTCATTTTAATTCCAAAACGTACACTCTTTCCAACACATTGCATTCCGCTGCCTACAAAGTCCTTCCTATTATACTAAACAGCCTCTCTAGGGAAACAAACAACTATTTATCTGCCCAAGGTGCCGAATCATAGTTCTGTCTTTAAGATAGACAGCATAGGAGATGTATCTTGAAGATCTTTATCTGTCCAAAGATTGACAGGCAAGTCTCTGAGATAAAATTTAAAAGGTGGCTTCCATTTAGACATCTCACCTGCCCTGAGGACATCTCATCACATCCGTTATTCTGTGCTGGGTAAGCTCTCCAGCACAGAAAAATCTATTAGGATGGGATTCTAATTTAAAGCAATAGCATATGCCATGGTATTACCCACATTGTTCTGGCTTGGAATGTTAAAGCTTGTTGTTTAACTCATACTTTATACTCAACCCATCCTCATTCCCTTGGACTGTGTGTGCACGCATTTATCTTACCCACTAGATTGAAAGCTTCCTTAAGACAAGAATTGTCTCCAACATTCCTCTGTCCTGATGTTGCGTTCTCTAGAAGGACAGAAAACAGGAAGTTGCAGTAGCAGAGATAGAAATGCCCATCAGACTTTCAAGACACATTTCACCCAGAGCTGATCAATGGATAGGTAACGCCAATATATCAGACCCTGCAGTCATTTAATACATATTTATTGAGATCCTAATATATGCCAGAGAGTGTTCTAAGTCCCAGTGATTAACCACTGAGCAAGACGGATGTGAGTTCCTGACCACACACTTTAGTGGGAAATACCAAATAGCAGTGACAACTTGGTATGATGAAGATTGGGACAGGCAAGAACAGTGTGTTTTCTGGGAGGAAATGTAATCTGGATTTAGAGACCAGGGGAAGATCCTTGAGGGAACGTCTAAGGGGAGCTCAAAAGGATAGGTGGGAGTCATGAAAGATTGGGGGTCATGGAGGTTGGTGAGGGCTCCCAGCTGCAGGGACAGCATGTTCGAAGGAGTGAACATGTGCAGGAGAATGGGGTAATCAAATAGTTGAAAGTTCTTTCTGGATGGAGCCAAAGTGTGTGGTGCTGGGGAGGGGTTGAAGGAGGCAAGCACTGGAAGCCACCTCAGTCCCTTCCCTAAGTCCTGGTTCTTGCATAAAGACTCATATTCTCTTGTCTGTTTCTTTAACAAAACAGGTTTGTTTGTTTTTAAAGACTTAGGATTGGTTACCCTGACTTGGGATTTAATGTCTATTTTCTTGACATTTTTTTCCTAGTGTTGCTATCAAATTGCTATTTTGATTCTTGGCCTGTGTGCCTCATTTTCTCCATCCACTTCTCCTTTTGTAAACGGAGGTCTATTAATACTTTATTCACAGTGAAGTTGTTGGGACTAATTACCCGATGCCTGCAAAGCCATCTGAGACGATTGGCTGAGAGATGTGCCATGAAGTCTCACTGCTTCTCAAAAGCCCTGATTGCTTCCGGCACATTTCCCCTTCTGTTTTTGCGGGACTGCAGCAGCAAATTATCCCAGTGCCTGTTTTCCCAGAGTCTGTTACTCACTCATCATCTGACACCTGGGAGGAGCGCCGGCAGCGTCTGTGGTACTCAGCCTGACTCCTTCAGACACATCTTCACTCCCAGACAGGAGGAGGGATGCCGAGCCAACCCCACTGTGATGGGGACACAGCCCCAACACTAGCTTCCGTCTTGTTTCAAAAATAATCAAATCCTGCTTTCTCTTGCTTTCAGGGACGTTATGTTCTTTAGCACTTGTCAGAAACAATTAATGGTAAGTTTCTTTCCCTACCCGTTTTCAGAGGAGAAATTGATAGTAAATATCCATTCCTCTCTCCTGATGTTGCGTTCTCTAGAAGGACAGAAAACAGGAAGTTGCAGTAGCAGAGATAGAAATGCCCATCAGACTTTCAAGACACATTTCACCCAGAGCTCATCAACGGATAGCTAACGCCAATATATCAGACCCTGCAGAGAGAACCTGGTGTGATGGCAGATTCTTTGCTATGTGTCTGTGTCCCCACACCCATTACCCTGAGTCAGACATTGCTAGCTCATTCACCATCCCACACCCCTTCTTCCTCACTATGAACCTCCAAGTTAGTCCAAGTATGAGTGGTTTCAGGAAGACGAAGCGTCAGGGAGATGTGACGCTTGGGGACTGTCCCTCTCTCTCCACTTCTCTCTGGCAGCTGGTCACAGAACTGCTCTATGTCCCTGTCCTCCAGAAATTCACCATGTGTCACACCATTTCACTGTCCCACTCCACTCCCACTATGCAGCGAGTCATCAAGGACCTCTGGGTAGGACCCTGGCAGTTTAAAATCTCCAAGTTTTACCTCACTCCTGTGTCTAGTGCAGACAAAACCACTAAACCTGTAAAGGTGGTAGAAGAACTCTAACATATAATTAACTAAAGGGTCTATTCCATGCAGCAAACATTAGAATCCTCCCCCCTGAAAGTACTTAGTTTATTTAATGATCTATGCCCTATTTGTGATTATGACATACTGATGACAGGTGTATAACCATGTACATTTTATTAAAAACCACTGTGTGTATTTTTCTCTGCTGATTTGCAAAAAGCCCTGTGAATTAGGTAAAGGAGGTATTATTATAAAGTTGATTTAGAGTTGAGGAATCTGAGGTTTGCACTTGCCTCTAAGTGCTCTTACACAATTGCCATATGTGCTCTAATTTCTCATTGACACCAGTGTGTTAGTCCACTCTTGGTTCCTTCAAGGGTAGGTGTGCATTCACCAGGTGGGACTGTGGGGCAGACCAGACAAGGACCTAGAGAAGGGCCTTTTGTACCAGGAGTTCACATGTCTGTGCTGGGTGCAAGGAAATGGTTGGGAGTTCTCAAGTTAGCCTCACTTGTAAGACAGCAACGCCTTCTGAACACTTCCCTCTTGAGAATTCACTAAGAAAGGCTTTGATTGTATTTGTCAGCTTCATCAGGCCCAGGAGATGAGAACATGCTCTTGTTCCTGAAACCATAGCATCCTGTCCTGCATGTAATAATTTGCAATATGGTGCTTCCGTCACTTGGAAGGAGTCATTTTTCCGCAGCATCAGTGCTTCCCCTGGGAATTCCTTTCCTTCAGGTATTAACTTGCCTTGGTCCTTGCCTTTATTCTTATTCCTCTTGTTTCTCTGACTTTACATTTCATGCACCTGCCATTCTCAGCAACTCAAATGGTTGATTTTTCTTTCTGTTTTTCAATATCAATATTTTTACTTTCAGTGGGGTTTTTAAAATTGTTTTTAGAGTCCAGGAAAGGAGAATAAAATAGAAAGATAAAAACAAAAGATAAAATAATATCCCTTCACTGTTCCGTTTTAAACGTGACATCAGGAGCGTTGACAGCAGCCTGTGTAATGGGAATTGTCCCTGGGTCCCAAAACTGTGCCTGGAGAACTTTTACACAACAACTCCACATTTAGTTTGGAAAGCAGCAAGGCTAAAATACATGGCAGATTTTTGGAGTGGGGAATGAAAAGAAGTATGCCATTATTTTTTTCTAGTTCCTGCTTTCTCTTTCTGAGTGACTCTTTCTGTGGCAGCTCAGCAGAATCTAAACACCCACATTCTGTCCTTGCGTCACACCCCTGGCCAGTTGTCCATTAGTGGTGGGAGTTTCATTCAAAACACACGCCTTTCATGAGAAAGAAGTGAGGACCCAGTGCATAGTAACTACAGTTACGCATCGCTTAACGATGGGGATACATTCCAAGAGATGCACTGTTAGACAATTTCATCATTGTGCAAACACCATAGACTGCACTTACACACACCTTAGAAGGTACAGCCTACCACACACCTAGGCTGTAGTGTAGAGCCTCCTGCTGCTAGGTTACACACTATACAGCACTCCTAGGTTACACACCTGTACAGCAGTGACTGTATTGAACACTAGGCAACTGTAACACAATGGTAAGCATTTGTGTATCTAAACATAGGAAAGGTAAAAACACAGCATAAAATATTCCGGGGCCACTGTTGATACTCTGTCTGTCGTTCACTGGGCCATCATTATGTGATGCATGACCGTATTTGAGTGTCTGTTTCTTTACACAACTTGTTTAATTAAGTTCCTGCAAATAGTTCTGTCCGATAGAGGATATTATCTTTGATCATCTACATTTTAAAGAAAAAAAATGAGGGTTCAAAGAAATTAGGTTATTTCTGTGGGGTCACATAAGTGGTAAATGTCCCAGCCACAGTCCAACCATGCCGACTTGTTTTCAGATTCTGTGCACTTTCCTTTGCATGACCACTCCTCTGCTTGCATTACTGGTTTGGGATAAGGTTAAATGGGGCATCTGATCTTTTATTCCCAGAAGTCTAGGGTCTCTTCCCCAGCTCTCTTTATGTATTTCTCCTGGACATTGCTGATCTCGGGATGCCTCACTGGCACCCCACTGGTAGTGGCGTGAGTATCCTCATGCCACTTTCTGCTGCTGGGATCTCCTAGGGGTATATCCACCTGCGAGCCTGCACGCTCTTCCTGGGGACTCCACCATCAGTTGCCCTTGGCTGAAATGACCCTCTAATACTCTGCATATGTCATTCCCACTCCACAGTCGGGATATCCTGGAAGTACATCAAAGAACTTTCCAAAAAGAACTGGATAGGAAGCCCCAGAAGAGGGCTCAAGGTATTCATAGAATTGGCGAACAAGGCCGTAGGTGCTGTGGAAGGGCGTCGGGCCATTGATGCAGGCGTGAATCCATCTGCCAGCTCACTGCTGTGTGATTTTAGGTGCAATGACAACTCACCCAGCCTCAGCACTTTCCTCTGCAGAATGGATCTAACATCTGATTTCCCATCCCATGGCGAGAGTTAAAAGAATGCCTGTTAGGTGGTGTTAGGCCCCAGTCTCTCCATTTTCCTCATTCTTCTTTTTCCCAATACCACAAACACTTCATGCTCTGCAAATTATATGAAAATGACAGCTAATATTTACTGAGTGCCTCCTACACCCAGGAATGTTTCTAAGCATTCTAAATGCATTCGCTCATTTAATCTGGAGAACAGATTTTTGAAGGGAGTCTCCCATTACTTACTAGATTTTATGGAAAATGGAGGCATTGTTTCCACCACACACAAAAACGACAAATACGTGAGATAATGCGTATATGTTCATGAGCTTGATTTAGGGAAGCCACAATATATACTCTATCAAAACATCATGCTGTGCATCAAAAGCGTATGTAATTTTTGTCAACTAAAAGTAATTATTTTTTCAAAAAGAGAAAATTCAGGCAAAGAGTAGTAAAGTCACTTTGCTTAATGTCAGGTAGCTGGAGACACCTACAGCAAGGCAGGATAGGAGCAATGGTGCCCAGATGAGATCAAGGACATCCGGACCCTCCAAGGCAGGCAGAGGCTGAGAGCAGTGAGTTAACCGAATGACTGGGTTGCCCGGCACAGCCCTTGCTCCTGCCTGCTGCATTCCACTAGAGCCACCGCTCAGCCAGAAGCACACTCTGAGGGTGCCGCTCACAGAAGAGGGCCACTGAAGTAGAGGAGAGCAGAATAATTTATTTCTTCTCTCCCCGCCTCTCCTCCCCTCTCTCTCCTTCTCCACCCTCTCTTCCTTCGACCAAGTGTTATTGTGCATCTATTATGTGTTGTTCCTTTATACACCGAGGATATGACAATGAACAAAAATGGTGAGAGCTCACCCATCCCAGAGTCATCTGGGAGACAGGACTAGGGTGAAAGTGCTTCCAAAGGTAGGGATGGATGCAGACCACGTGCCAGCCTCGCCACTCTTTCCTCTGATGCCAGCTGAGCGGAGGTGAAGAGAGCATGATTCTGTTTAACATGGAGCCACCGAAAGCGTTTCAAATTAGAACACAAGACTGGAAAGATAGGGCAGGGACAGATGTTCCAGTCTCTAAAGGAAGAGAGAGCTACAAGACCGGTCAATCAGATAATAGCTCAAACAGTGGACACTTTAGGAATGGAGAGGAAGTTTCCTTAATCGAAGATCCAAGAAGTGGCCATATTTGAATCTGACCAAGTCTCAGGCCTGGGTCCCACACCCAAAAGCTTTCTGTGCATTTGGCAGTGGTTCTAATCTGAAACTGTATCAGGGGATAGAGCTTGAGCACTTGACTTGATATCCAAAAGCAAGTAAGAAGATAGTTTCCGAACACTTGTTTTGTTATGCCAAGGAAGTTAGATGGACAAAAGAACTGACCTTATAATCCAAATGGAGCTAGTAGCCAGGTCACCTGAAGCTGTGCTTCGGAGATGCCAGAACAAAAAATTAGTGTTCCAGGAAGTCCTCTGCTTCTGTCCTCCACCTTTTTTGTTTCTCTTCTTCTTAGTCTGTTTCAGAAAAAAACCATCTATGTACTAAGGCATCAATGAAGAAAGTAAGTCTTTTTACTCTTAAAGCAGGTGAGCTCAGGGAAGCAGAGTACGTGGATTCCACATGTGGTCATGGCAACTGAAATCTGGCTGTAGCCATCAGCTCAGGCTGAAATTTCAGTCATTCTTGACTCCTGATGTGCTTCTGATTTAATTTAATTTTTAGTTTCATTTAATTTTTAGTTTTCTTCTGCCCGGGCCTTGAGGTTTCAAATGGATTATCCAGATTTCAAATCCAAAGCCCGTCAGGCCCTGCTGTTCCACTGCAGTTTTTTTCTTGAAAAAAAAAAACTTAGATCTTAGATCTCCACTCCCACTCCCATACCCTACATTCAGTCCAGATGCAAATCCCAGAGCTCCACCTTCAACACCTTTGCAGACTGCACGTCCTTGTCAGTACCTGTACTGTTGGCACTCTGGTCCAAGCTACCCTGCCTGGATTTCTGCGATAGCCCCCTGGTCCCAGCCTCAGACCCTCCCTAGTCAGGTCTCAACACAGTGGCCAGTTTCCAAATGTACACCATGTCATCTCTTACATTTCTGCCTCATTTTGAATAAGAGCCAGAACTTTGAGCATGGCCTCCAGAGCCCTACTGGATCTGCCTCCCCCGGCTTCTCACCTCCTTCCACTCACTGGCCCCAGTGCACAGCTACCACCTTCTTCAAATTTGCCCAGCATGTTTCTGGACCTTTGCAATTGCTCTGTCCTCTTCCTGAAACTCTGTCACCTGAGAGCCACAGGACTCACTACTATATTTTGGGGGTCGTTGCTGATCCACCTGTTATATAAAATCACATCCCTAGTCCCACAACTCCCATTCCCTCTTTCTTGCTTTAGTACCCCTGCCCATATATTATTTATTCAGATTAATTTATCTATTTGCCTCTTCTCTTTCTTTTCATTTAAATGGAAACTATACATATAGGGATGTTGTCTGTTATGTTCACTACTGTATTCCCAAATCTGAGACCAGTGGCTAGACATAGAAGGTGCTTAGTAAATATCTATTGAATGAGTAAATACAAAAAAACGTTCCCAGGGCATAAAGCATTGATTGATGGCCTCTTTATCTCATTGTATCCCTCATTTGCCCTTGGTTTTCTCTCAGGCAAGATAAGATTTGTTTAATAATTAACATTCTATTTTTTACCATAATTCTATTTTTTTAAAGTATAATTTCATTTCTACCATTATTCTCTCAATTTTGCATCAAAGATTGAGGGAATTAATTTGTTCTTACCAAATAGATTGAGGCTTTTGTGCTTAGATGGAAATACTTGGGATTTTCATCACATTGTGTTTCTACATCTCAGATTTCAAGGACAGGCCTGACTTTGAATGTCAGATTTTTACAAGAAGAAATATACTGTTCTGGGTGGCCTACCAGGGGTGAAAAGCATTCACTTTGTAACCTCACTGCTGGGGTACAAACCTTAGCTCAGCCAGCTACAAACTGTGCGGCCGTCAGGAAATACTAAACCTTTCTTTGCTTTAGTCTTTACTTCTGGAAACTAGAGAAGGTGAATGATGGGGTTAATACTATAAGCCCATAAATTTGAATAGAGAATTAAATGGATTCACACTTGAAAAGTAGTTAGAACTCATCCTAACTTATGAAAATGTTTATTTATAAAAACAAAATGATACCCTTCGTTTTCCTGTCTCTGGAACCATGAACAAGCCATTTCCTGTCACTGCACCCCGATTCTCCTCCCAATAAAATGAAGGGGAAGGTAGGAAAGGTTGAATAATTTCTGACTGTGATTTTATCCACTCTAACTTTCAAAGTCTGAGGTGAGGCTGTCTCAGAGCCAGGAAGACAGATTTTGTGCTTCTGATTTAATTTAATTTTTAGTTTCCTTCTGCCCGGGCCTTGAGGTTTCAAATGGATTATCCAGATTTCAAATCCAAAACCTGCCAGGTCCTGCTGTTCCACTGCAGTTTTTTTCTTGAAAAGCAGAGCGGATGCCCAGGAAACATTCTAAGAAGCCTCTGGGGAGATCTCTGGGCAGGCAGGGGCAGGCTGGGTGTCCCCCTGGGCTGTGAGGGCTCCTGGCAGTGCTGGGAGTAGCTGGGGGTACTTAGGTCTCCAGAACCATGGGTGTGATTGGGAGGGGCCATGGCGACAGAGTGACCTGTGCCCCAGGAGGCCTTTGCAGAAGTCTTTATCAGCAGTCCCCAGTGACCCAGCCCAACAAATGCTCAGGAAGGCAACTGGCAACCGTGACCTCTCCGTGGGGCAATTAAAGAATGGAACCCAAATTTCCATGCTTAGGAAAACCTCCTACAGAAGCTCAATCATCGTAACCTCTGGTGGACCTTCTTGTTCAAAGTGACAATGCATTCCTTGCCACGCCCTAAGGTGATGAAGAGAGACTGTGCCTGTAGCTCACGTGCCCATCGGCACACCTTCCCATCTTCCCTCACCCGTGCCCTGCCACCAATTCTCAAAGAGTTGAAGATTATGCTTGTCCATAAAGCTCAGCTTGTAGAGCCAGTCTTTCCTACCAAGAAATGTGTTCGTTAGCTCCTGACATCCCCTATTCACAGAAATAAAAAGATCTTTGCCACTCTGTACTGACTGCTTTGTGTGTGGCCTTCCAAAACTGGATGTTGTTCATGGGCTAGGGCCAGCAGGAAATATCAAGCTACCCTTGTCTTTGCCCTTGGTGCCAGCGACTTGCCTGCACAAGTTATGGCAAGGGGACCCCAGGGAGAAGCTCCAGGACGTGTCACTGTTTGTGGCTTATCATGCCAGCAAGAGAAGAGAAGGGCTATGAGCCCATGCTGAGCCACCTGAAATTCTCAGCAGCTGACTACCATCACTTCTTAACTCAACCCCAGATACAATCTTAGAATAAATCTGAAGGCCAATAAGCTTTTCCAGTAATAGGTAGATTTAATGGTCTTGACTTTGTATTTTCTAGAAGTTGACTCCAAGGTGTTCAGCTACGTTGATCTCCTGGAAGAAACTAAAAAAGAAAAAAGTAAGATAGAAAGACAAGGAAGGTGAGAAAAAGGAAGAAATAGGGCATCTGGCATGGACTGGATGCTCAATAAATGTTTACTGGATGATGAATGAATGGTTGGCATAAGTCATAACAAGATGGTTATCGATGCCAGAATGGGACTGACACAGCCTCCTTTGAGCACTGAGGAGACAAGATATGTTGCAACAAAAGGAATAGAGGGCACTGAGAATTAGACACCTGAGTTCTAATCTCAGTTCTGCAGCTGTCTAATAATATGTGTGACCTCTGGAGAAATCACTGATGGCAAAAGAACTCAGGGTTCTCATCTGTAATATGATGGAGTCAAAGAAGACAGTGTCCTAAATCCTGCTAATTCTAAGAGCTGTTTGTTCATTCCTGCACTCAACAAACACTCATTGAGTGTGTATGTCTTCTAGACTCTGAGAATAGAAAAGGGAAGAGGTTAAGGTGTTTAGAGGTGCTCTCAGCCATGTGGACACAGTACTGTAGCTCAGTGTGTAAGAACTTTAATAGCATAAGCTCCAGGGGCCACAGAAGCAGAGGAAGGCCTAGGCATCTATGGATGAAGCAGCCACACAACCCAATCTGTGGTACAGGTACAGAAACAACCGACCGTAATACAGTGTGATTCCTATTATTAGGGAGGCATGTTCCATGAAACTATGACTTTGTTTCAAATCACAGTAAAATGAGAATCATCCTACAGGGCTGCCTTTCTCAAAGAATCGCCCTTTAATTTAAGAACTCTCACTCATTTCTAAACACTTGGACTCCTATTCAGGACTAACCTTTTCTTGCACAGTTTTGAAATTATAGGTCATTGAGATAGAAATACAACTTACTGAGACAGAATTCTAAATGCTGCTTTCATACCTGGTTTTGTCCACTTCAGGTATCAAAAACCTTGACTTTAACAGTTAAGTAGGACAGTGGTGTTCTGGAGTGGACTCCGGTAGAGTGCAAGGAGTTGATTGTTAAATATTTAGGAATTTTGCAAGACAATTAAATTGTTGGTAACATAAGATTGGCCCTGGCAGTAGTTTTTACCCCACAGAAATCAGTAAACACTGTAAATCAGAGCATTCTTCTTGTTTTTTGTTTTGTTTTGTTTTGTTTTAACTGTAGAGCTGGTCTACCAGCCCACCACTGGATAGAACTCACATGGTTCAGTTAGCAGTTAAGAGAATTTACCTGGAGGAATTTTTCACAATGAATGTTTGGAGAATTAAGGCAATGCATGATAATATTACAGAATACCAATCACTCCCAAACTGCATACTTTTAACTGTATTTGTATGTAATCTATGTTAGTATATTTTATTACTTTCTAATTTAAAGCTATTTATGTGCTTACTTAAATACATTGATTTTTAAGGGAACTTTTGTGACAGCTATAAATGGGAAAAAGAACACAGAACCTCTTAGTCTATAATAAATTGTGATAAATGAATAACTTTAAAATAATCCCACCATATATCACCTGAAGTCATCCCACATACTTCTAGAAGTGTGTATAGTATACAATAAAGGTTATAAAATAAATTCTTGTCATAGTCTCCAGTGTTTTTTCTCTAAGGAATAATAGCAAAGGTTATGGTACATTTACTACGAATGAGGCATTACTATATTACATACACATTATTGTACATACAATTACATACACATTAATATAAGTGCATTAGTTACATAGATTAACTCATTTAATCAGTGTAAAACATCTACAAGGAAGGTATTATTATATCCCAATGTTACACATAAGAAAACTGAAGCACAGAGAGTTTAAATAACCTGCCCAAGGTCAGTGGCAAAGCCCAGATGAACTCCAGACAGTTGGGTTCATGAATCCGTGCCCTTATTCACTATACTTCATCACTGCAATGGCAACTCCCATTGAAACTAAAAATACATACAATTCTTGAGTTCCTTCAGGACTCCTAAACTTTGGAAAACATTAGAAGCCACCCCAATGAAACAAAATCCATTTATTTAAGAGTATAAATTTGTGATAAAGTTATTACAGCGTTAGCCACCTTTGTAGCAAAAATAGTGAATGTCCACTAGTAGGAGAATGACAGAATGAATTAGGTTATACGTACACCATGGAATATTAAATAGTCTTTAAAAATAATGAATGCAAATTACACTAGAAACTTGGAGAGATTTCCATTGGTATCATTGTAGAAGAACAGAAAAATGCAGACAAAACATGTATAATAATCTCATTTTTAATAAAGTATACATTGAAAGTGTCCTTTCTATTGCCAGTCATAGGAGTTTTAAGCCTTAAAAGAGCCTGCTCATCTAGTAAAGCGTGAAGGGATAGCTGTTTAGTTTGTATTTCCCACTGCTGGTGAATATGAACAAGATTCCATATACCAGCTTGCCATTAGTATTTGTTCTGAGAATAAGCCTTTGCAAATTTTTACTTGCTTATTAATCCCCTCTTTTTAATTTACAACAGTTTTGTTTTTCTTCTTCATTTTTGTGTGTGGCCTCTTCTTTGAAATCCCCCAATCCAAAAATGTTTTATTTGTCTTTTGGCTTTGTTATATATTTTTTATTTACAAAATGTTTTATTTTTTATGGTATAGTCAAATATGCTTCTCTCTCTTTTTTTTTAAAGCTGCTGGATTTTTTTTTTTCCAGTCTCAGGTCAAAAGTGGGGAAAGAAGGAAAACCAAATAAACCCAAATAAAACCTCGACTAGAAGTGTCTTCCTAGCAAGACTCGGAACCTAAAATTATTCCCCATGTGTGCCATGCCCTGACCTTCCCTGTAAAACATCATTAAATCTCTCCAGACAACAGGACTGGAGACATTTCTATTTAAGTGTTTTATACCCCAGTTTCATGCTTCTCACTTTAATTCCTGTCTATTACCAGCCCATGTAGGCACTGGGAGGGCTTCAGGGCCAGAGAGTGAGGAGGAAAAAAAGGTGGCAGAGGGAGTTGAGTTACATTAGTGTACTGATGGCACAGCAACCCCTTGTATTTTATTATCCTAATTAGTGGGTATTAGGTTCTATTTAAAGCTTAAATCTTCATTACGTCCTACTACAATGGTGGATTTAAAAAATCTAGCATGTCTTTGAATCAAGGTAGAGCCTTAGTTTGGCTTTCCTGCCTCTTATTTGGTCTGTTTGCCCAATTCTTCCCTTTTTTTGAACTCAGCGTTGTATTTAATGGGTTTGTCAAATCTACATTCAATTTAACTTTTTTCATGAAGATCCCCTGCGACCTCACAAAGTTGTGGAAGGATGACTGTTTCTCAGGTTCCCCTCTGGGTGCCCCATCTCCAGCGCTCTCCCCTGCAAACTCAACTCTTTCCAGCTGTTACAACTGCCCAAGTTTAAAGCTGTCCCTTTACATTTGACTCCTCTCTCCTTCGCCCCAACACAATTTAGACATAAATTCAAATGCAGTCTACAAAGACATCTGCAATAGCCGTCTCCTCCTCCAAGTATTGTCTGCCCAGGGTCTCTTGATGTCACCTTCCTCTTCTTTGGCCTGAGTGATCATAATGGAATCAGCACCAAGCCCATCCTGCCAAAGCTGTCTTTCCAGAGCATACCTTTTGCCTTCCCACGTTGAAGCACCAGTGCTTAAAGGATAAAATCCTTGGCATGGTACACAAACGCCTTTGTTTTCTGATCCAAAACTACTTTTGCCACCTTATCCTGACTGTTCACATAAATTATTTGCAGTACCCTTGTGGGATGCATGTTTAGTATCTGTGTGAACCAGGGGAGAAACTCACGCCCTGCTCTCTCTCATTGTGTAGTTCTTTCTGGGACTGCATTGCCCTTCCTGCTGCCCAAAATGTGCTCCCCCTTTCCCTTGGAGTCTACGTCCTTGTCATCATTCGAAGCCCAATTCAAGTGTCATCTGCTCTCTGAATAGTCCCTGAGGATCATAGTCAAAATGAATACCCCCTGTTTTGATGCCCCTTTGTACTTTTTAATACCCTGATTCTAACATTTGCATTTATCTTAGTGAATTGAGGTTCCGCTGTCTCTCAACTAACTGCATGTCTTTGAAGATAGGGCCAGCATCACAGTCATCTTTGTCAATTTTGTTCATAGGAGATTGAAAGTAATGTTCCCTGATATATGTTTGCAGAAACAAGAAGGAAGGAAGGAAAGAAGGAAGGAAGGGAGGGAGGGAGGGAGGGAGGGAGGGGGCAGGAGAAGGGAAGGGAAGGGAAGAGAAGGAGGGAAAAAAGAAAAAAGAAAATTTATGTCACCTTAAACAATACTTCCCTGGACTGCACTTAGCTTGTTTGTGTCTTGTTTTCTTGTTTTGTTTTACTAGTTTGTTTATTTTCTTATTTATTTTAAGTGATATAATAGCACTTTTAAACTGGCTGTGGAAGGCTGTTTACAAGGTTTATTTGTGATGAATATTTAAAATGTGACTCACAGGCCAGGCGCATTGGCTCATGCCTGTAATCTCAGCCCTTTGGGAGGCTCAGGCGGGTGGATAGCTTGAGGTCAAGAGTTCAAGACCAGCCTGGCCAACATGGTGAAACCCTGTCTCTACTAACAATACAAAAACTAGCCGGGCGTGGTGGTGCGTGTCTGTAATCCCAGTTACTTTGGAGGCTAAAGCAGGAGAATCACTTGAACCTGGGAGGCAGAGTTCTCAGTGAGCCACAGTTGCACCACTGCGCTCCCGCCTGGGTGACAGAGCAAGATTCTGTCTTAAACTAAACTAAAATAAAATAAAGTGTGACTCGCACTGCCTATATGAAACTCATAGGAAGACCCCAAAAGAGTACTCATCATTAGCATAATTAATCACGTGATCATTTCTATTTTTATTAATTACAGTTCTGATTCCAAGGCATGCTAACTCCTTTATAAAAGCGAAAGATTATTTCCTTTTTTTTTTGGGATGGAGTCTCACTCTGTTGCCCAGGCTGGAGTGCAGTGGCGTGCTCTCAGCTCACTGCAAGCTCTGCCTCCTGGTTTCAAGCGATTCTCCTGCCTCAGCCTCCCAAGTAGCTGGGATTACAGGCATGCACCACCACACCTGGCTAATTTTTGTATTTTTGGTAAAGACGGGGTTTCACCATGTTGGTTAGGCTGGTCTCAAACTCCTGACCTTGTGATCCAAACGCCTTGGCCTCCCAAAGTGCTGGGATTACAGGCATGAGCCACCGTGCCCGGCCGAAAAAGATTATTTCTATAGTAGAACCTGGGATTCACATAATCTGGGTTTCTTTTGTTGTGCTTCATGAGGAAATTGACCATAACCCTCCTGCCTTTCCCCTACTTGGGGAGCAGAATGAGGGTCAAGGGAAAAAAAGAAAAAAAGCCCAAGTAACTGTCATGCTCAAACTGGGAGCACCGAGAAATGGGCAGAAGCCAGACTGGAGGTTTTATGGAGCAAAGCCCAATGGCTAATAGTAATGAGATTG